AGTTTGTAGCCCAGGATCAAGTTTGTCATTTCATTTTCTTACTTCAGAAACAATATGGAGAGTCCTAAGTGTTATCTTGCATATTGCTTTTATTGAAATGCATTGGGGAATTCGATGGAATTTTGTACTCTGCCGTAACTGCTTTTTTGTGGTATGTCTGTGTTAACATTCAGGTCATGAATGTGGAGTGATATAATAAGAAAACTTCGTGTGATGAAAGATTCTCAGGGGTTGAAGGTTTTTGCTAGTCATGGTCCATTCATGGCTACTCCTCTCCCAGTGGTCATGTCAGCAGCATGCAGCAGAAGTTCAAGAAGAATGCGCAGTTTATCTTTACTGAGGGATATTCCTCAGGTGCATCCCACTGTTTTTTGAATCTTCTCCATTTTTTCTCTAGTTAAGCTGGGAATTAATGTGTTTTATATCTGCCTTCTAGTAGTGTGAACTATGTGAAGAAGGATTTTAATTTCTTCCTGTTTATTTCCTCTATATCTTGTAAAGTTTAGAGACATCTAAGTGTTCAGAAGATTCACCAGTTTTCTTTGTTCTCCTTCCAGCAATCATATTATTTATCTTAGAGCCTTCTCCCGGTTTTTGGGCATTTTTCCATGTCACTGCAGGTATACATTATGGAGTTATGATGCCACCTCCCTGCTGATTCTTGATGAAAACTGCTTTCCTGAGTAATTCTTTGTACAAGAATGGACCTACCTTTGTTCAGTGTCCTCTGTGCCAGAACACCACCTTGTGGAAAAGGAAAGGAGAGCTTTATCTTAGAAGGATTGAAAAGACCTGAACCTCCAGATGCTTCTCTTTTACTTCTGTGTTTTTCAGTTACCTTTGAGAAGCTCTGGATAATATTTGCCATTGCTGTTTCTGCCCTTATGAATGACCTTCATGGAATAAAAATCAGAAGGCTGAAAGAACGTCAGCACCTTAAGTAGAAGTAGTGAAGTTGTGAAGTAGTGACAGAGCTTAAAAAGTGTGTTTATTTAATCTTTTTACATTTATTGTTACATTAGGGAGATTATACTGCTTGAATTAAAAGTTACTAGGGTTTTCTGTAATGAACCTAAATTTGCAGCTATTTATAGTTGAGAGAAAATGTTTCCATACAGAAATTTGGCATTCAATGTCTCAAGCTAAATGGTTTGGTTTTCCTTTTTCTATTTCTTTTAAAAATACTCTTTGGCTGCATTCTGTTTTGAGAGAGGCATTTTTTTTTGTGGTTTTATATGCTTTTTGTGCTCCCTTGGCAAGGCTTGATACATGGAAAAACAAATTTTCCAGGCTCTTAGTCTTTTATGTCAGCTATTTCCTTTTTGATATTTAAAACATGATACTTTGGTGGTCATTACTTTTTAACAGAGACCCTGTATTATTCAATAAGCAGTCGCCCATAAGTATTTGCCATTACTACTTTTCATGTATTGTTACATACAAATGGTTCTTATAGTTAAATCTAGTAAATATTTTTTCTGAAACGAAATTGTATACCTGACATGTTTAGTGGTACTAAAATTGGTACTTGTGTATTTCTACAAAGTTCACCATTTCTCATTCATTTAAAATATGAAAACTGGTTTGCATATTTCTTTTTATTTCTATTTTCTAATTATTATCTGTAGGGCATTTAATGCCATACTTAAAAAGGTGTTGAAATTATGTAAGTTGGTCCCGTTGGTTCAGAAAATCATTCCTTTTACCCAAGGGTGTGATGTACATTTGAAATGCTCCGATCAGAGTTTGAGGAAATGAGTCCTCAAATTCATGAAGCCCAAGTCCTGGTTGAGGTCTGATGCCATCCAGGTAGTAAACAGAGAAGTGTTTAGACTCTGCCTAAGTTCTTACAGACTTCGGTGTGTTCTGTGCACTTGAAGCTCTACTAGTGAGTGCAGATGGCATTGAGCCTGGCACAGAATATGACTCGTGGCTCAGGTGATTTCTTAAGATGTTATTTAAGTAATGTCCAGATATTCTGCAAGTGCAGCACTCTGATCGGAAAACTTCCTAGAAAGTGGAGTCTCCTTTCTCTTCCCAACAGCTTTGCCAAGTACATATTTCCTTCTCTCTTGGAAGAATGTCCCAACAGCTAGTTACTGAGTATTCATTCACAGGACAGGTGAGATTCCAAGGAGTTCAATCCTCCTTGGATTCAGCTTGGGCCACAGCACAGAAAAAAGCTAGAGTCACTTTAGCAGATGGTACACATACTCTTATAGTTTCCAATTAATTTCTGTGTTCTATCCAGCAGAAATGGACTGTAAAATGTATAAATAATATACAAATATATAGGGACCTGAACCTAAGTGTTCTGCCTGTCTTTGACTTGCCTGTTATCGGAGCTTCAGCAATGCAGTGTAAGAGAAATTATTAGTTATGCTGGGGAGAAGGATGATCAGAACAGAATGTCTGAGATGAATCAGAAACTGGCTGAGGAGGAAATAGGAGATAATGTCAAAAGCAGATTTATTAGACTGGAAAGAAATTGCTGGTGGAGTTCCTCTTTCTTCTTAGCATCTTTCTTCTATAGCACTACTCTAATTCTTTTTGAGATAATACATTTTTGTACTAAAATAAGGTAGTGATAGTCAAAAAGCTTTCACAAGAAAGTATGAAGGTGCTAATATCTGCTGATAATTGAAGGACAGGAGACATTTTCAGTACAACATTGGATGCCATACAGGAGAAACTGAATGGCATTTAAGATAGGAGCAATCAATGTACCAGAAATAAAATTAGATGAAATACGATGCAAAACAAGACTCCTCTAGACTCACAGCCAAGAAGTTTAGTCTAGGCTTTTAGTTCACCAGCTTGAAGAATGTACAGATTTGTTTATAGTACTGCCTTGAGTTTCCAATATGTGGGAGTCATTCCCTATGTAGTTCTCAGTGTTGTTCTCACTCCATGAACAGTGAATTCAAGTTGAGTCTGACTAGTGAACAGGAAGGCTGTAGAGAAAATCAGGGGCTGAGAGGCTTGGACTGTGGTTCAGAGAGATTTTGTATCTGTAATATCACAGACAGAAAATAAAACCCAATACTTGAATGCCTTTCTGCAATATCCCCTCCAAACTTTTGACCCCTATGAACTCCAAGGGCTGTGGACATCACCTGATGTGGTTGTGGGAACTGTTCTGAAAAGACAAGTACAGCTCTTGATTTTCACAAAATTTTGCCACAGTAGGCACTAAATAGGATTTACAAGATTTGGCCTAGAAAATGAATGCTTTTGCTCTCACAGTTTTATGGACATTTTTCATGCTCTAAATTATGCTTTGGTTCACATAATCTATTTTAGCTCTCTTTTTATTTTCCAGTCACAGCTTCACTCATAGCACAGCTGTGGCATTTGTCTTGCAACAAGAAGGATCTGATAATCATGAAATAACCCAGATTTATGCCTGTAGTGCTGAAGCAGTGCCATATTTGTGAAAATAACTTAAGAGGAACAATATGCAGCAGATGTGAAGGTTTTACCTTCACATTTAAGTAGGTTTATACTGTCAGTGAGTGTGGGCTTAGCAGGGTCTGACAGAGTTTCAACTTACCAGATGTTCCATGTGATCAAATAGATGCTATACAGCTGTTTCCTATTCTTTTTACTGGGCTCAGATAAATACACAGTAAATGGTCTGAAATATATTTATTGTATTTTGGCAAGTCCTGCAGCCAACTGCCCACAGGCACCAAGAATGCAGGGAGAAACCAAAGGTGCTCATAGGCATGCTCATTTTCCATTACTGAGGAGAAATTAGCAGCCATTTGGTTTGAACAGCTCTGATGATACTAGTCAGGGAGGAATAAAAGATGGGGCTTTCCTTTGGTTGTGGATGTTGTGAGGTTAGTGGCTGTATTTACAGAGTGTCCCCAGTCTGGGGGAGCTGTTGCTCCCTGGGCAAGAGCTGTGCCCTGTGCTGACAGTGTCACCCTTCCAGTGGTGTAAAATCCCAGGAGAGGTGGTGGGGATTGGAGCAGCTGTACTGCAGGTAGCTCGTGCTAATCCCAGCTCAGGCCTTCAACACGGGAATGGAGAACTGGTTTGGCTTCTGTCCTCAGTGCAATACAGAAAAGGGGATTTCCAGAGCTCCTGGTGGCTCTCCTGTCCACTCCTGAGCATGGACAGCGTGCCCCAAATTAGCCATGGGATGTGTTTATAAGGGCACACAGCTTTTGGTTCAATCCAGCCAACTGCTCTGAACTGCTCCAGGATTTACAGGCCCAGTTTACATTAACTGCCACACATGTCAACTTGACTTAATCACAGAGTAGCTAAATAATAAAAAAGGAAATTTCATTTCCCTTCACCTGCTTTCCTGTTCTCATTTCTCCTTCCTCCCTCTCCAGTTCCCCATGCTCTCCTTAGCCCTTTGACCTTACTGCTGCCTTCCTTCCCTCCTGTCCCTGTCAACTTCCTGCCTTTCCAGAGCTGCTCTTACACCTGAAAAAATCTCCTTCTTATTTACTAGAGGCTTTCCTTGTTTGCCTTTAAATCCTTTTTTAAAACCTTCATCTTCAGTAAGAGAAATAATTTTAATTTTTCACTAATAATCTCTTTAACATTTCTTGACTGCTATGTTCTTTTCAGATTTATAGTCAGGTCTTGCAAATGTTTACAGAGAAGTACCTGTTAAGTTAAATTGAGAACATTCAGTTATAAGTTTGGAGGGTTGGATTGTTCATTGGAAAGATTTTTGAAATGGAAATATTTCTCACTGTAAAACTCAATGTTCATTTATGGTTCAATATACATTTTTAATAAACCTTTGTGACCTCAAAGGAGCAGTGGAACATTCACTAACTTCTTGTTTTAACTTTTATTCCTTAGGTCAAGGTGTGGAACATGTTCTCAGAGATTTTTAAATGTGCTGAGCAAACTTAATGTTGAAAATATGACTTTATACCCAGAATCATATGAAAGGACAAGTACAAGCTGTACCTTTTGATCTTGGTGTTGATCTTAATTGTTTTATTTTTCAGTATTGATTTTTATTTCAGGAACCTCAAGCATCAGGACTGCCTGAGTACATAAAGATTGTAGAAGTTGGGCCCAGGGATGGTTTACAAAATGAGAAGGTAACTTTTCTTTTGTTTTGACATGGATTTTAGTGTTATTTTCATTGTGTAGAACATGTACATCCTGCTAATTATGTTTCTTTCATTTGGTATTATTAAATATCTATTTTCATATTGATAACTTACCTTTATATTATAATGAAAGTGTATTTTTATTTTCTCAGCTTTTAGATCATATAATTTCTTTCTATACTTGGCTAACTAGCCTTTCTGTTACTCAGCATTTCATTTTACTGGCCTTTGTCTTGTCAGTCAATACCATTCGGCTGTGACATAATTTGTAAACTCTATGAAACACTGGCTATCTTTGTAACTTGTGTTTCTGCTTCAAGTGTTAATGTAGAAGGAATAGTAAAATAGATTTTATCATGTTTCCTGCTGAAGAGACATGGGAGAAAAATATTACTCTTTTGATAGCATTATTTGTCTGAAGGGTAGTAGGGAAGCATGGAAGAAGATTGAAAGAGATTATAGGGTACATGTGTAGAAACAATCATCTATTTCCACAAACAGGAGGATAAGCTCACATATATCATTGTTCCTGATACCAGAGATGTTAGTGGTATTAGCAGAAGAGAGTTACCCTGCCACAACCGGGGAGCTTTTTTCCTCCCATTTTTCACTGGTCACACTGTTAGTATTTCCTTTGTCAGTTCTTGCTAGTTTGGTGTTTGGTTAATAACAAATAATGAGGCCAGATCTATAACCAGTTACAGAAGTGCTTCCTTTTGTGATGGACAGAAAATGGAGTAAGATCATGTATACTGCTGAGTACCTTCCTTATACCTTCCTTATACTTACTCCTGTCAGGAAACAGAAAAGTTATGGTAAAATGTGTAAGAATAGCTCATTATTGTATAAAAAAAGTATTGCTTACATGCAAGGAAAGTTTCACTTAAAAAAGTTTCTTATGTATGAAATACTTTGCTAAAATATGTCTCCATGTCTATAGGTGATAGTCCCAACTGATATAAAAATTGAGTTAATCAACCAGCTTTCCAAAACAGGCCTGCCTGCTATAGAAGTAACCAGTTTTGTTTCATCCAAATGGGTGCCTCAGGTACGTAAAATCAGCCCTATTCACAACTATTTCAATTTAAATGCCATTCCATTTATTTATGTTGAATTCAGTTGTAACTAAAGATTTGGGATGGTGACACATCATTAATATAATTTAATGTTGTACCTACTTATTTTCTATTCTACTAAAACTAGTAGTCATTGATATAAAAAAGAAAAGTAGTGTACGTTATTTTCTTTTTCTCTAAATGAAGTGTAATTTTCCACATTTGCAAATGTGTTTGGAAGATCGAAATTTGGGACTTCTACATATGTAGTAGTAGTTAGGCACGTTACTTATTTTGGACTTCTAACACTCTATCAGCAACTTCACTTAAATTTTGATGAATCATAAAAATTTGCTTATTATTTTTCCAGAATTAATTTTTACATTTGGTAGAATTCAGCAGAAACTTAGCCTTTCTGGAACTGGCAGCAAAACTGCATTGGCATTAGAGTGCCACATTTCCATTTGAAATTTAACACTGCAAATTCAGACTTAGTCCTGAAGTTTACTATTTAGCGCCTGTTTGTGCAAATTAATTATTTCCTGCAAACATGCAAATAAGTCAGTATTTATCTTTATAATTCCAACTGTTTTTCAGGAAATTGCACACTTGTTTGCACAGAAGCATTTGAATACTTTATATTTGACAAGGAGCCTACAAGTTATTTACAAATTAAAACAAGAAGTTAATTAATTTGAGAAAATACTTCCATTTTAACAATGTCTATTGCATGGTACACATCTGACAAAATGTAAAGTTTGTCCATTTTAAACTGAGAATACATCCTGGGCCTGGACTGTATTCTAGGCTTTTGTCTGAGAAAAACATAATGCAGTCATGCTTATTCAAGAGTTAACAAAGCAAATTGTGCAGCACTCTGAAGGACTCCTTTGCTTTATTTCAGTGTTCTCAGGGTCACCAGAGAAGAGTCTAGAAGAAGGGTAATAGGAAAGGTAAAGAGAAGAGTGACAAAGCAGAATTTCTTTGGCATCAATGGAGGGGCAATGATCTCTTGTCTGCTAAAAGGGAATAGGTTAAATTTTTTTAAGTGCCTTCACCCTGTCAGTTACTGCAACAGAGAACAATAACATTTTTCAAATGTTAGAAGAAAATTTCTAAATCAAGGTTGTATTTCTTCCTTTCTTGTTTAATTATTTCCATTTCCTGTGAGCCATTGCGAGTACCAAATTTAGCACAGGTTTGTCAGTTTAGAAAAAATAGAGCAATCCCTTCTTATCTCAAATTCATTCATGGAATACTTTGTTTTAATGGCTTAATTAGTGTCTATTTTTTTTTTTTAATTTAAAAGATAAGATGGTGTTGCTTTGACAGAGAGTGCAGTCTTGACTTTGTCTTTTCTTTGCTCCTTCTTTTTCTCATAGGTCATGGGAATAGAATTTACAGTTATGTTTAGATCACTCATTCACTTATTTCTGTTTTAGTATTTTAAATTTTTTATGGTTTCCCATCCACTGTTGTCTTTGGCAAAGATATTTTTTAACTGAAAAATCTAAAAGAAAAAGTTCCACGGTAGCAAGGTGCCATATAAAACAGGATACCACACCTATAACATAAACAGCCAAAATTATAAATATCTACTATTAGGAAGCTTATTTTTAAAGAAATTGGGAAAAGAAGTATTTTATTACGATTTAAAATCTTATAACATGCAATATGTGCAAAGATGGGATTTTACTTACAGGAAAAATAGCAATGGGACAGATTTAATATTTATAATATTATTTATGTCTGGCAGGTTTATATTGGTTGAAAAAGTGTCATTTTGGTTTTCCAGTATATTTTAAGACAGACTATAATTGTGGAGAGTGAATTTAGTTCCAGCATTTGCCATTTGATTTATCATTTGGTTTCAGTGATATTCTTTTTTGCCCTGAGAAATGTAGCTACTACTTATATTAAAATAAGGAATGAAAAATTGTTCACAAATAACTTAGGTGTTAACAGAGGTTTTTTTGTGAGGTTATCAGACCAATTTACTTCACGTAGTAGCAAATAGAAAAAGTTTTGTTTTATCACTTATTTCCTGATAAGAAATTAATTGTGTCTGGCTATAGAACACCTTTTGTACCTTTTCCTTATAGACACATATTTGGCTTATATTTGAAGAGGAATTCATAGTTTTTTCTGATGTTTTTAATCCATTCGTCTTCACAGAAGGAAGCTGATGACTGGAAGATTCCAGGCTATAAGCAGTATTTTTAGTTTATAGTGTGTTATAATTTTATAACATGTATTTAGAATTGTGGTACTGCATAGCTATCAGGAAGGCATTGGCTGAAAGTAAGGAGCAATGAAAGCTCTGTAGTTCATATATCTTTTTAGATGGTACTTCTCAAAATACTTTTCACCAGTGTGGAAAGAAACAGAAATCCAACTTAATAGTGTTTGCTTGAGAGATTTGCTTTTATGAGAACTCATTTAAAAAGCATTTAATGTGCACTATTCTTTTTTAAAACTCAGAATCTTTAAAGCATTAAATAGGAGGGATATGTTTTATTTTATATTGTTTTCAGGTGTGCACACCATTGAAAAATATTTGTTTTCAACCTATTCATTTTAAGAAAATGTGCTTCTCTAAAGAATCTGCCTTTAATTAAGTGAATAAGTGTTTCATTCATCTTCATCAGTACAGGGAGTATATTTAATCTTGAATGTATGAGTGAAAATGTAAGCGTATCTTAAAAAGGCAGATTTTCTTTTATGAGGGGAGACTAAGGAAAACAAGTACTCTGATCTTTGCTGTAATAAAGAAGTATTTTCTTCTTCAGAAAGAAATTCCTGAATATAAGAAAACATTGCACTATGCGGACATCCAGATTTTGCTGTCTCTTTCAGAATAGATGTGTTTAGTCTTGAAATGTTCTGATGACAGTGTTGAGTAATTCAAGTTCAGTTATGCTTAACATTGTGAGGTTGCATTTATCAGAATGCTGAACTTTTCAAGATTTCTATGTTTCTTAAATCTCAGTTATTCTGTTACTTCCACCTATTAAGTCCAGTGAAGCAAAGTTAAAGTTGCTGTAACACTTCATGAACAGCATGATCATAAGTCTGTCATTTCATGATGCAAATTATATTTTTAGAGATACACACAAAGGAACACTGTCGAAGTCTTAGCCCCGGTTCTATATTCACATAGATCTGAAAAAATTGCAACACAAATAGTCAAAAGTTATGAAATTAAAAAAGAGTATTTGTACAAAATCAGTTTAACGCCCTTGTTGTTGGACTTTTTGCATGAACTGTAAAAGTAATGAAGGCAAAAGCAGAGCCTAAGCCAGTTTCTATTTGGTTATATAAAATCAGAAAATAACTGCTGATCAATACAAATTATTTATTTATTTTATTTTAGATGGCAGATCACAAAGAAGTAATGAGGGGCATTGAGCGGCATCCTGGAGTCCAGTATCCTGTTCTCACACCTAATCTTCAAGGTTTTCATTCTGCTGTAAGTACTTTCATAGGTGTTGTCTACATTTACCTATTTTATGTTTCAGACACTTTCAGTTCAGTACCAGAATCTAGCTATTTAATGTCAGAAATAAGCTATATCTTTTTTCACTGAAAACTCCCAATTTCCTTTATGAAAAAATGGGAAATTCACAGAGTGATGTTAAGCTCATATTTTAGTGGAGGCATTGACCAGGAACTTTGTAGGTTCCTTTATATGATGCTTGTGTATAAGGGGCCAGACAGTTCTTTCTCTTTGACTTGTTGTCCCTGTAAAAGGTTTTCAAGAGTGTCTTGGTGGAAAACACTGAAGAACGATGAGGAAATATTCATTTAAATGAAAAGGCTCTATAGCAATTCTGGATTTCATTTTGGTTGGGTTTGAAAGTTTAAATTATTTCAGTTCTTCCAAAATATTCAAAATTATAGACTTGAAGTGTGTAAGAGTGAAAATGGAGCAGTTCAGTCTTAAAATATACACATTGTTTGTCTAATCTTTACCCTTTTGTTTTTTGAAAATTTTTAGTGCTTCTGCTTTTGTCCTGATGTAGGACAGGCTGTATTTGGAAAGCATACTGCTTGGTGGACATTTGTGTTCTAGTGTCATTCAGTTCCTATACTGAAATAGTGTTAAAACAGAATCCTGTGCATGGTTGACTTAACTATCAACCATGAGATTATAGTGCTGCAACTTTGTCTCAGTGGTAGCTTGTATGAGTTTAATTAATGGTGTTTTATCTCTATACTGTATTTAGTGATATAATGAAGAATGAAGAGAAAACAATGAAAAAATAGTTGTAGATGATTCCTGCATTCCTTCTTGCTGATTTTTTTTCCATCTGTTTGAAAGAATATTTGTCCCTGTATGGGTTGCTGAATTTTAGACATTATCCTGCAGAGACAGAGAGTGAAGGCAAAAGCTCCATCCTTTTTCATTGAACCAGAGTATTATTCTGCCTGGAGAGTGAGAGTTAGTTAACTATTCTAACTATTAAGCTAAAATGTTTTCTTCTCCTATCAGTTGGCTTTCGGCCTTCTACTTTGCCTCATGTTAGTTGATTTCCTGAGGTACTGAATACAAGCTCAGGCTAGTTGCCCCTTCAGTGAAAACACCACATTTACACATTTTCTAGACTGGTGTTTGCTAAGACTTCTCTCAGCAGACTCTGATGTACACATTTTCCATATTATCCTTATCGACTGTGACACCAAGACCAATGGAGTCCTTGATCCTAGAGTTGGCTCTAACAAAGAAATCCCTGTTGATTATTGTTGCTGCTCTAGGCATATGCACACAGAGGGCTTTCCCAAGCATGAGAGTGACTTCCTGGTATTCAGGGGGAACAGACAGTATGACAGTTGTTGTATGATCTTTTCCTTTTCTGAAAAGACACATACAAGTATTAATAATGGTTTTTTATATAGCTGGTTCATGTGAATTCTTACATCATATTCCCTATATCATTCATCACTTTAAAAACACGTTTAACTAATTGCTAAGAAGAGGCAAAAAATATGCCACAGTGAATGATCTCAAATTTTGATTCAATCTGTCTGTATGCTATAGCTTAAAAAAAATTGGAATTAAAATTAGATTTTTGATATTGATGATATACTTAATTTACTTTAAAATTTTAGAATGTTGTACAGAATTAAATGCTCAGTCTAATACTTTAATGTAGTATTATGATTCTCTTTTCTTGAAATGTGTTTTTTAGATTGCAGCAGGAGCTACAGAAGTCTCGGTATTTGGCGCAGCATCTGAATCTTTTAGCAAAATGAATATTAATTGTTCAATTGAAGAAAGCATAGAAAGGTTTGAAGAAGTCACTAAATCTGCAAGGAGTATGAATATTCCAGTGCGTGGGTAAATATACAGATTATAAAGTAATACAGAGTTACTGGAGTCATTGTTACAGGCGTTATTTGGTACCAGTAGAAAAGCTTATTACCAAATTTTTACATTATAGAGGAATTGTAATAATAATCTTTACTGTGATTTTTATTTTTAGGATTGAATATATTTAATTATTTTTGCATTTTTAACTACTGATGGTAACTCTTTTGCTGTGGAAATTGAAAGGCGTTTTTATGAGATTTTATTATATAAATTAGTTTTTACTGTCACTGATGGCAGAATAAAATTTCTTTTGTGCTGTTGAGAATTTGTAACACTAGCAGCTTAAAAAATGCCCTACAAACTTTTATTTTATTGTAGAATTCATGATATATCACTACATACATTGCAGGAATAAGGTATAAAAGTGAGAAAACAAATTTACTCCTAAGAAAAAACTTATTCTGTATATAAGTTATCCCGAAAACTCAGGCATTGAAATTTTTGAGTCTCCAGTGCATGAAACTCTAGAACTATCCAGCATTTTTTTAAACTTAAAATGATCCTGAATGGTACTCACTCTTGGACAGTAGAGAATTTAATTTCCACTTTCTTTTGCATCACACGTAAGAACTACTTACCTGAGATTATTTGTGAAGGTCCTTGTGAATGCAGAAGGGCTCATGTAGATTCAAGGAGAAACTCAGCAGTGAGATTCCTTGAGGATTACTAATAGTATAAACTACATCATGCTCAGAAAATACCTGGACTTGAAAATAGGTGGAGGTAGATACCTCTGAGGCTAAGTACCTGAAAACCAGTCTGGGAATAAATACTGGTTTCCCTCTTTGCTCCAGAAATAGTGATGGGGTAATGCTACTGCATACATTTTTCCACAACAGTGTGTGGTTGTTTGGGCATTTGCCTGGAGAAAGGGAAATCTGACTTCGAGTTGTAACTGTGCCCCAGAGGATCACAGAACAGCAATATGGTTTAGGTTGAGAACTCTGGAGATCATTTTGTCCAATCCAAGGATTTGTGGGTGTTGGTTGGCAAAAAACTCAACCTGAGCCAGCAGTGTGTGCTCACAGACCTGAAAGCCAATTGTGTCCTGGCTGCATCCAAAGCAGCATGGCCAGCAGGGCAAGGGAGGGGATTCTGCCCCTCTGCTCTGATGAGATGCCACCTAGAATGCTGCATAAAGTTGTGATTCTCCAGCATATGAAGGACATGGAGCTGTTGGAGCAAGTCCAGCAGAGGCACTGGAGCATTTCACTAACAAGGTCAGGCTGAGAAAGTTGACTCTGTTCACCCTGGAGAAGAGAAGGTTTTGTGGAGACCTCATAGCAACCTCCCAGTATCTGAAGGGGGCGGCAGCAAAGCCAGAGAGAGACTCTTCATCAGGAACTGTAATGACAGGACAAGGAGGAAAAGCTTCAGGATGAAAGAGTAGGTTTCAATTAGATACTAGGAAGACATTCTTTACTGTGAGTATGGTGAGGCACTGGCACAGGTTGCCCAGAGAAGATGTGGATGCTGCATCCCTGGAGGTGTTGTTCAAGGCCAGGATGGATGAGCTCTGAGCAACCTGATCTATTGGAAGGAGGTGTCTGTTACAGCGCCTGAGTGGGTCGCTGCTGGTGAGAGAGAGACGGTGAATCTTGTTTCTTGATCAGAAGGCTGGATTTATTGATATATGATATATAATACATTATAACTGTACTAAATAGAATAAAGAGAGAAGTTGCAGATGCTTGCTAAGCCAAGAATAGAAAAAAAAGAATCTAAAACAAAGTTGTGCCCAGGGACTCGGTCCCCTGGCTTGCTCTTGTGATTGGCCCTCAATTATAAACATACAAACATGAGCCAATCAAGGTGTCCCTGTTACATTCCACAGCAGCTGATAACAATTGTTTACATTCTTCTTCTGGGGCCCTCAGCTTCCCAGAAAATGCAGAAATCTGAAAGAAAGGATTTCTGTGAAAAAATGTCTGCGACATCTCACCTTTCTAAATTGTATAAAATAAAAGAAAAATGCTGATGTGGAATGAACAGGAAATTTCTTCACCTGTAAAATATACAATACTAACAAATCACTAAAAACAATCCTACAATCTAAGAAAATGCAAAAAACAATGCAAAGAGAATTCAAGTCCATGCAGCTGAGTTTCAGGAACAGTCCATCAGCTGAAGTTGTTTCTTTTGGACATCTGAGAGTCCTTTTCGGTCCTGAAAACAAACTTGCTGCAAAAGGAATCCTATCAATAGTTATCAAAAACCCACTGACAGTCTTACAACAATTTCAAACAATTTCAAACAATTTGAACAACTTTGGAATGTCCTTTTCTGGCCCTTCAATGCTTCAGTGCTTCAGAGCTGCTGCCCACTATTTTCAATCTTTTTTATTTAATTTTAAATTTTTTTTTTTTTTTTTTTTTTTTTTTTTTTTTTTTTTTTTTTTTTTTTGATCGAGAAGCAAAAGAGCAGCAGCCGAGCAGAGCAGTGCCAGAGAAGGAAAGGCTCTGGGGGCCCTGGCCCATGATGGACCAGGAACCCCAAAACTGGCCCACAAAGGGGGACCAGGACCTGTAGGACAAACCAGAATCCCCAAATACATAAGGAGGCCACGCAGTGGGCCCGGCCCAGGAACTATCTGAGCCCAACAGGCCAGGCCAAACCCATAAGGCAGGCTCTGCATTCCCGCAGGCCTGAACCCTGCTGCCAGCACAATGGCAGCACGGGTAGTGAGATGCTTCCTTTCCCCAAAACCACTGAGGCATGCCAGCAGCAGGGAAATAGAAGCCTTCCCCAGCAATGCCATCTGGGGTCTGTCTTCCATCCGCTTCATGGCATCACCCCCACCCCCTCCGGGCTGGGGATCAGAGGCAGGGCTCTCGGGATGCACCTGTCCCCCCATGCCACTAGGACGCAGGAGAGGCGGCAGCCTCCATGGGACAGCAACCAAAACACCACCCCCCAAACCGCGGAGAACGCTGATCTTAAAAACAGGCAGCTGGACTGCCGCAAGAGTCAGCTGGCGGGCAGCCCCCGCTCCACCGAAGGAGAGACCCCCGGCCGGGGCAGCTGCTGGGGCAGCCGGTCCGGGACGGTCCGGGCTCGAACCAGCCGCCGGTGCCATGGCAGTCTCTGACGCCGACACGGAGGACAGAGCCTCCGACAACGCCAGAGCCGCTGGAGCGGCCAGTCCGAGCGGCGAGGGGGGGGCCGGAACTGGGGAGGGAACCGCGCTGAGAGTGGGATCAGCCGCGGGCTGCTCGGAGGGTCCCGCAGGTTCAGCGCCGTTTTCAGCCCCATCCTGAACAGGAACTGTCTCGCCTTGAGGCGGCGGGGATGCGTGGGAACACGCTGTTGCTGCGTCCCTTGGCTCTGAAAGCGGCGGCAGGCACGGCACAGGCAGCAGCGGAGCCGGGAGAAGCGGCGGAGCATCGCTGTTGCTTAGCAACAGCTCAATCACAGGAAGTGCTGTCTCTTCTGCCTTCTCCGACGCTGAGCCGGAAGCTGGAGACGCATCCTCGTCGTTGCCTAGCAACAGCTCAGGGGGCGGGGAGGCCGGTGAAACCGCGGGCGGGACAGCCTGGAGAGGCGGAGACGGGATCTCCTGGAGTGACGGCTCTGGCAGGACCGGAGAAACATCAGAGACCGGTGCCGCCCCCATGTCTGAAGGCGGAGTCTGAGAGGCCGGCGCTGGCTTGAGCGGCCACTCCCATCCCCCCGGAGAGAGAGAAGGGGGGGAAGGAGAAAACTCCATCTGAGCATGCTCCGGAGCAAGAGTAAAAAAAACTTCTTCGCCCAGCGAAGTTTCAGCCCCCCCCGCCGCGAAGCAGGGCGGGGGGAAAAGCCCAAAGTCATCACCCACCGGGTCTTCTGCCAAGGAGGGGGGAAACGGTGCCTGGCCATAACAATTAGAAATCCATTGGAAACAAGCTGCTCTGCATTTCAGAAGTGGGAAAAGCTGTATAAATGCTGGGTAGATAGAAGGCAGGACACGTCCCTGGCTCCAGACGAACTGGAAAATGGAGTCCATGCACTCCCAGACAAAAGCATCTAAAGCGTACAGGACATCAGTAAAGAACCCAAAAAGCTTTGCCCATCTAAAGAATTTATAGAGATCTGTTTCTGACAAAAAGCAACCATCTTCTCTAGACCAATGGTTCCAGAGGGCTATAAGTTTCTCCTCTGAAGGGGAGAATTGAATCTCTTCTGGCAAGGCATGTGTCTGCCATACAAACAGCCACAAGCTACGAAGGGCTGGTTCATCAGGGATAGAAAAGCCCACAGTACCTTTTGAAAGAGTCCAGCTTGCTCTGGCCAGCTCCACAGGTCTGCTGCTCTTTTCCATCATCTTTCCTGAAGGTTTTCCAGAAGAAGGTTCTCTTTGTGGTCAGCCTTGGCTGTGAACTCTGTCCAAATCAGGATCTTCAGTTCAGCTCCTGGCTTGAGTCCACTTCTGTGGTCGCTTCAAAGCAACCATCAAATGCTACACATACAGGATTTTTACCCAGTGCAGCAATTTTGCTCCTCTGGTCTTATCAAATTAATTTTTGCTCTGACACGAGGGGTCACCAGATGTTACAGCGCCTGAGTGGGTCGCTGCTGGTGAGAGAGAGACGGTGAATCTTGTTTCTTGATCAGAAGGCTGGATTTATTGATATATGATATATAATACATTATAACTGTACTAAATAGAATAAAGAGAGAAGTTGCAGATGCTTGCTTAGCCAAGAATAGAAAAAAAAGAATCTAAAACAAAGTTGTGCCCAGGGACTCGGTCCCCTGGCTTGCTCTTGTGATTGGCCCTCAATTATAAACATACAAACATGAGCCAATCAAGGTGTCCCTGTTACATTCCACAGCAGCTGATAACAATTGTTTACATTCTTCTTCTGGGGCCCTCAGCTTCCCAGAAAATGCAGAAATCTGAAAGAAAGGATTTCTGTGAAAAAATGTCTGCGACAGGTGTCCCTGCCTATTTCAGAGGTGTTGGAACTAAGTGATGTTAAAGGTCCCTT